AACTTTATTAACACAACATTTCCGATTCTTAAAGGGACAGTCCAACCAAAAATTACATTTCTGTCATCATTTTTTCAACTTCATGTCATTTCAAACCTGTATGACTTACTTCTGTAGAATTAAATAGTTTTTGTGTCTCTGTGTGTGTGTATAATGAAATTCATCAACACGTCGGTAATTAAAGGTTAATTCTTACGTGAACTATCCCTTTAAGTTGGGATTTATAGTTTAAAATGGAAAAAGATCCTTTGACATGTTTCAGTGATATTATTAATAAAATGGTATTTTAATATAAGAGGTTAGTTGTCACACAGGAAGCTGTCACAAAGGTTCAAAAGTTTTGGGTCAAATGTTTAGGTTTTATGTTTTTGAAAGAAGTCTCTTATGTTCATAGGCTGCATTTATTTGATAAAGATTACAGTAAAAATGGTAATATTGAGAAAAATGATTACAATTTAAAATAGCTGTTTTCTATTTTAACATATTTTAAATTGTAATTTTATTCTTATGATGTCAAAACTGAATTTTCAGCATCATTAGGCCTACTCCTTTTTATTTTGCTGGTCAAGAAACATTTCTTAATATTATGTTGAAAACAGTTGTGCTGCTTAACATTTTGGTGGAAATTGTGATTCCCCCCCCCAGGGGACTCTTTGATAAATAGAAAGTTTAAAATAACATAATTTATTTGAAATAGAAATAATTTCTATCAATGTAAAAGTCTTTACTGTCACATTGATTTAATGCATCCTTGCTGAATAAAATGATTAATTTCCTTAAATAAATAAATACAATTACTGAATTCAAACTTTTGAACAGTAGGCTATAGCATGACTCTGCTAAGTGAGCTAAACACAGTTGGACCAGTTTAAACCAGCTATATAGGACCAGCAAACCACCGTAGTCTGGATCAGCATTTTTAGCAGGTTAAACCTACATTACTGGGATAATTATTAGTATAAACATATCTAAATGGACTTTAAAAATATAACTTTAATGGGATGGACTTTAATTACAGTCTGGGGAACTGGGGCGCAAAACCTTTCAAAAGAGAGACATGGAAAGGGTGTTAGCCTAACACTGTTAGGCTTTTGAGAGGAGATAATTGGGACCAGATATGAACACGGATTGATTTTGGGAGATTGTGCCACCCGGAATACAAGCCAACGCAGTCCTGAATGAGCTTCGTTGTGCCAATAACAATCGCGAACAGGTTGAGATGGAAAGGGGGAGTTACGTCAGCTAGCCTACATCTCCATCCAAAGTAACCACAACCAGCTCTAAAATATCGAAATAAGAGCAGTTAAAAAAAAAAAAAAAAATAGTTCTTAAGCAATTGCTTCTTGTCTGTGGCTTATTTTGTATTTTTTTTTTTTTTTTTTTTTTGATCTATAGCATGTAACGCAAATTAAGGGAAAACAAACAGTTCTGAATGTGTTTGGAAAAGTGGCATGAAAGGCAATAAACACTCATTTAAGCTATTGTCTATTTACAATACATACATTTATTACAGGACATTTATTATTAGATTTAATTGCTTGAGTGAAGTGCTTGCAAGGCATTTTGTGAGCACGCGCTCCACCTGATTATCTCATTAGGACGCGGGAAATGAAGACACAAAGAATAATGGTATTCAAAAGAGCTGTTCAGTCTTACAATGAAGTGATAATTGTACTCAGTGTCAGTGTAACAAATTAGAATCATAACTTTTCACCAACTTTCATTTTAAGGTTTGTCATAATCATTTGCTGAACCCTAACAAATTCTGGAGATTGTGTGTTGTTGCTGCCATCTTGTGGAGAACAGCCACCTCACAGCATTCAGCGGTAGAGCATTGAAATACACCGCTGCTGCCATCTAGTGAAAATAAAATAAAATAAAATAAAATAAAATAAAATAAAATACATCCAGGCTGAGAATACATTGATGATTATATGAGAGTGGTTATAATTAAATGAAATTTAGGATTCAAATCTTGCAATCTTGTGGAGAACAGCCACCTCACAGCATTCAGCGGTAGAGCATTGAAATACACCGCTGCTGCCATCTAGTGAAAATAAAATAAAATAAAATACATCCAGGCTGAGAATACATTGATGATTATATGAGAGTGGTTATAATTAAATGAAATTTAGGATTCAAATTTCAAAAACAGAAACAAAGTCAGAGTGCAGTTTAAACTTATTTCTCTTCTTCTGTTTAGGTTAAATCCAGTCTGACTTATTCACTTTCTAACGGCTATTTCAGCAAAATTCTTGGCTGTCCTTTCTCTTTGAACCTTTTGTATTATATTATCATTTTTCCTCATATAATGTATAATTGATTAACGTTATATATATTGAAAATATTCCAAATAAATGTGTGTAAAATGTCTCAAAGGAAATAAAAGGCCCTTGTTACATCCATACATGCATCATAAATTATGAAAACTGTAAATATATGGTAAAATAAAATGGCATACAACTCTCAGTGTTAAATTTACACAGTGTTTGCCAGAGTGTATATAATCTGGTGTGGATTATATAAACATTGACAGTGTTCATTTAACACATGGGGTTTTCACAATTAAACTGTGTAATGTGGATTTATTTTTCATTCACAATTTGCAAAAGAGATCAAGTACCATAAAAACACACATCTAATTCTTGTGATACGTCATTCTTTAATAAAAGGTAATGTTAACTTAAACTGGCCAACTCCAAACTTTCATATTAATCTTTTAACTTGGTCAAATCAAAATATTGTCTTTGTCCTTCACATAGTACTCACAGCAAGTTATTCTTTTCTCATTGGAAACGATGTTTTGATGAAGTTTGTATAACTGGCCTACAGGGTGAACTGGCCGCAGTTGTTGGCTGGTTCCTTCAGACAGCTTCCCTTCACGGGCCATTACTGAGCAGCTCTCACAGGGATCAGTACAATTTAACCATGAAATGTGGAGAGGAAAAAAAAGTGTTAGAATCAGACGAGTGCCCGACTGTGGGAATGTGGGTAAGAGGTCAGTCAAGCATGTTTGGAGCCGATTTACAAGCTTCAACTGGCAGAATTGACCACTGAATTAGTACCGCTACCTTAACTAGGAAACAGATTTTCTTTAAGAGACAGGTTATCTTTGTGGCATGTATGCTGTACATTTTGATTGGATGATATTTCAGATCACACTGCATTGAATACTGTATCCCACAATGCAATGCGCTTGACTTGACCTTCCATTTCCAGTGTGATGGATGGCTTAACAGCATTATTTTCAACACCAATAATAATAATAAATGTTTTTTGAGCAGCAAATCAACTGATTTAAAATGATTTCTGAAGAAAGGGATTGTGTGACTCTGAAGACTGGAGTATATATGGCATTTTAAAACATTAAAACAGAAAAGTTATTTTATATTGTAATATTTCACAATACAATTTTTAATCAAATAAATGCAACATTGGTGAGCATAAGATACTTTTTATGGGACCCAAACTTTAGAGTGGTAATGTATATTGTTATACCGGTATTTATTTAATTATATTAAGTGTAATTAATTATATAATATCATTTACAATATCATTTAATCTAGTATAAAAGAAGTGGCAGATATTACCTCCGATTCATTTGTCACACTGGAAACGGAAGGCCAAGGTGACAGGCACCAACTACTCACTGGTATTCCACAGGGATCGGTATTCGGACCACTTTTATTTTACCTCGTGTTCCAGTTTTACAAGGCCCTCAGAGTGTTTACAGACAGCCTGTCCCAGGGTTCCTCAGTCATGTCAACACCTATGGAAAATAGAACCTACAGAAGATGCAGAAGCAGTTATGCGTGATCTTGTTTTCCTCAGAGATAAATGAGTGTACAGGAAGGTCAAATGCCAATGGCGTTCCATAGCTGTGATCCGCTTCATGAACTGTGAGGGGGAATACAAAGAGAGAGTTCAAAGACGTCAGAGTGTTTTTATATGCGAGGATGACAGAGAAAAACAGCTGTTGGTCCCACTGCAAAATCTCAAAATGAAAACTCACACTAAATGGCCTCCATTACTGCTGAATAATGGGTGTGAACTAAGCGTCTGTTTTCATAATGCTGATATGTTGGCCTGGATTTGAAGTGTGACTAATAAAGAGTAAACTCGAAGAAACATCTAAATTGGACTCAGTTTTGTGTGTAGACAGAGTTTGTTTTCATCGTCTATTTTCATAAAAGCTAAACAAATTTCCACAATGTGTGTGGTACTGCTATTATCATGATATCAAGGGTTAATGATGCAAATTTAGTCAAGTAAGCTAAATTATATAAGTAAAATATTATAGTTATATGCATTGTATACACATACCATCCAAAGTTTGGGCTCAGTAAGAATTTTTTTTATGTTTTTGAAAGAATGCTCACCAAGACTGGATTTATTTGATGAAAAATACATGAAAAACAGTATTGTGGGGAATATTACAGCAATTTATAACTATTTTCAATTTTCCTGTGATGGCAAAGCTGAATTTTCAGCATCATTACTCCAGTCTTCAGTGTCACATAATCCTTCAGAAATCATTCTAATAGGCTGATTATTATTATGATTATCATCAATGTTGAAAACAGTTGTGCTGTTTTTGTTAAAACAGTAATATATATTTTTTCACGATTCTTTAATGAATATGTTCTTTAATGAATATGTTGAATGTGTTCTTGCTGAATAAAAGTTTTTTTTTTTCAAACAATACTGGCCCAAAACATACTTGCCCCAAACTTTTGAACAGTTGTGCACTGCATGTTTTATAGTTTTAAAATGCGTAATATTTGAAACAATCCAATAAATTAAACTTCATACCTTTTTGGACTTAAGTTGGAAATGATCCTAACTTCAACTTACAATGATTAATGTATAAATATATCTTCATAAAAACTATAATAATTTTTTTTTAGAGAAATATTTTTTGACCTACAAAGAAATTAGCGGTTAAGAAGAACACCTATTAGTTATTTTGGTAGACAAATGACACATTCAAAATGCCCAAATTACAAAAATGTACATCCTTTATGTTATAAAAATAGAGATTTCATACAATGAAATACATTCAGCCTTTTTTCAGCGAGTATACAGTTAAATAGCAGTCATTCTGTGATATTTACAATACTCATTCTCTCTTTAATCAGTTCTTTCTTTCAGTTCTGACTCTGAGGACAGTCTCAAATTGGCCAACCAGGATTGTTTAAGGTCCGGGGCAATTTCCTCTTTCTGGTGCTCTTGGGGGGGCTCTGGGGTTTGTAGTCTTCTCCGGAGCCGAAGTCCAGACTTTCCTGGGTATCCCTCCAGTTGTCTGGGGCAGACGGGAAGTCCTCTCCCGAGGAGTGCAACGGTCTGCTGAACACTTTGTTCTGCAACTCTGCGATGTCGTTACGAATGTCAGCCATCATGAGTAACAGGAAGTCAAAGGATCCTGGCGGGCCCTGAAAACGCAAACACATCATCATCACATGAACGTCGCTGGAGTAAGAATTGTCCCAAATCCTCAGGATTAATAGAAATGGGCATAAAGCACTCATGTAAAAATACAGATGAGTCACATTTTCAACACACTGGCTCTCTTTCTGTATGTCTAAATTACTGAGTTGTTCCTCTCTTACTGTGGAGCTTGGGCAGATATAATGACAGAACAAATGGTTGATAGATAGAAATACAGAACAAACGACAGACAGATAGAATGATAGAACAAACGATAGATAGAACGACAGAACAAACAATAGATTGATATAACATCAGAACAAACGATTGATAGACATAACAATTGAACAAATGATTGATGGATAGAAATACAGAGCAAACTATAGATAGATATAATGACAGAACAAACGGTTGATAGATAGAAATACAGAACAAACGACAGATAGATAGAACGACAAACGATAGATAGAACGGCAAACGAAAAATAGATCGAACAACATAAACGGTAGAACGATATAATGACAGAACAAACGGTTGATAGAATGACAAACGATTGATAGATAAATCGGGAGAACAAACGATAGATAGAAATACAGAACAAACGTTAGTTAGAACGACAGAACAAACGATAGATAGAAATACAGAACAAACGTTAGTTAGAACGACAGAACAAACGATAGTTAGAACGACAGAACAAACGATAGATAGAAATACAGAACAAACGTTAGTTAGAACGACAGAACAAACGATAGATAGAAATACAGAACAAACGTTAGTTAGAACGACAGAACAAACGATAGATAGAACGACAGAACAAACGATAGATAGAACGACAGAACAAACGATAGATAGAAATACAGAACAAACGTTAGTTAGAACGACAGAACAAACGATAGTTAGAACGACAGAACAAACGATAGATAGAAATACAGAACAAACGTTAGTTAGAACGACAGAACAAACGATAGATAGAACGACAGAACAAACGATAGATAGAACGACAGAACAAACGATAGATAGAAATACAGAACAAACGATAGTTAGAACGACAGAACAAACGATAGTTAGAACGACAGAACAAACGATAGATAGAAATACAGAACAAACGTTAGTTAGAACGACAGAACAAACAACAGATAGAAATACAGAACAAACGATAGTTAGAACGACAGAACAAACGATAGATAGAACGACAGAACAAACGATAGATAGAACGACAGAACAAACGATAGATAGAAATACAGAACAAACGATAGTTAGAACGACAGAACAAACGATAGTTAGAACGACAGAACAAACGATAGATAGAAATACAGAACAAACGTTAGTTAGAACGACAGAACAAACAACAGATAGAAATACAGAACAAACGATAGTTAGAACGACAGAACAAACAATAGATAGAAATACAGAACAAACGATAGTTAGAACGACAGAACAAACAATAGATAGAAATACAGAACAAACGATAGTTAGAACGACAGAACAAACAATAGATAGAAATACAGAACAAACGATAGTTAGAACGACAGAACAAACGATAGATAGAAATACAGAACAAACGTTAGTTAGAACGACAGAACAAACAACAGATAGAAATACAGAACAAACGATAGTTAGAACGACAGAACAAACAATAGATAGAAATACAGAACAAACGTTAGTTAGAACGACAGAACAAACAATAGATAGAAATACAGAACAAACGTTAGTTAGAACGACAGAACAAACGTTAGTTAGAACGACAGAACAAACGATAGATAGAACGACAGAACAAACGATAGATAGAAATACAGAACAAACGATAGTTAGAACGACAGAACAAACAATAGATAGAAATACAGAACAAACGTTAGTTAGAACGACAGAACAAACGATAGATAGAAATACAGAACAAACGATAGTTAGAACGACAGAACAAACAATAGATAGAAATACAGAACAAACGTTAGTTAGAACGACAGAACAAACGATAGATAGAAATACAGAACAAACGTTAGTTAGAACGACAGAACAAACAATAGATAGAAATACAGAACAAACGATAGTTAGAACGACAGAACAAACGATAGATAGAAATACAGAACAAACGATAGTTAGAACGACAGAACAAACAATAGATAGAAATACAGAACAAACGTTAGTTAGAACGACAGAACAAACGATAGATAGAAATACAGAACAAACGATAGATAGAATGACAGAACAAACGATAGAAATACAAAACAAACGATAGATATAACAACAGAACAAACGATTGATAGATATATATATAACAACGGAACAAATGATAGATAGATAGAATAACAGAACAAACGACAGATAGAATGAGAAACAAAAGATAAATAGAACAACATAAACAATAAATAGATAGATAGATCTATTTTCAGTGATTTTGCAGGCATTATTTTAGAATAGCAAAATATTTACGTACAGAATTAATTTTAAACGTAACAATATTAAACAAATAAATATTGTTAGGAAAAAAAAGATTATTTAAATGACAAGGGTAGAGACCAAAAACACGAGTTGGCTTTGATATAAATGCCACAGATAATTTAAATATATAATCAAAAATATAATACTTTTTTAATACATTTATAATAATAATTGTTTTGCTATTACTGATGCTAAGCTGCATGGCACAGTTTGCAAGGGTTAGAGATTTTGGGTCTTTTTCAAGAAAAACAAATCTTCTAGACTTGATTTTGTGAATAATCACACTAAGATGTCCGCTTTAGTCCTTTGAGAGAGAGACATGCAGATGAAAGCTGATCAAAGGTGAGAGTGAGAGAGGCTAACACAGACAAATATATTCCAGACATAAGAACCATGAGAGAAAGTGCCATGATAAGAAGTTCTTACTGGAGGTCCGGAAGGGCCGGGAACCCCTTTCTCTCCCTGGAGAAACCAAACAAATATTTGGGTTAGCAGGATTACAGTAAAGAAGCCATGAGAAGTCCAACAGGACAGTTATTGCCCGCTATCTCTCAGTAACATGATCGCACGTGAGAAAACAAGCCATCGCTAGTCAAAATCAAACGTCTCTACTCCATCGTTCAGCATCTCAAACGCCAGCGAATGAATCACTACACAATACAGTTTAACTGGTACATAAAACCAAAAGACAGCGATGGGTTTATTCAGCATCACGAATGCTATCTGAGCACTCTTTCTGCGCCCCATTTGACGCTGGTCTATAGCTCATTTGGGGTGAGGTATGGCAGTGGGTACCACAAAGACAGACGTTGTGAGATTTTGACCCCTCTGTGGGGATTATGTAGGGTCAGAGTTCACGTAGAGGTAGTAAGCGGCCCAGATGTTTTTAATTTGTAGATACAAAACCAGAAAAACACACTATACACACATACTACACGCGGATCAACCTTGAACCTCTCCGTGCACATACATGTTGAAAAACAAACACAATGGAAAAGCATGCTTGTATAGCAGTTCACCTAAGGCCTGAGACATACTTGACACACTAGCGGTCAAAAGTTTGGAATAATTATGATTTTTAAAAAATGTTTTTGAAAGAAGTCCCTTATGCTCACCAATTAAGGCAAAAACTTCAATATGGTGAAATATTATTATTATTATAGGTTTATATTATATGCTAATTTGCTGCTCAAGAAACATTTTTTATTATGATCAGTGTTGGAACAGCTGCTTAAAATTTTGTGGAAACCTTGATAAATATTTTAGTATGCTTTGATAAATTGATTTAGGTGAACATTTATTTAAAATAATAGAAATCTTTTGTAACATCATAAATGTCTTTACTGTCACTTTTGATCAACTTAATGCATCCTTGCTGAATAAAATGATTAATTTCTTTCTTTTTTTTTATATTACTTACCCGAAACTTTTGAATGATGGTGTTTTACAGTTTCAATAAACATTTAAATTGTAATAATATTAAACAATATTACTTTTTTTTTTTAAAGTAGATTTTTACTATAAATGCAGCCTTAAATAATATTCTTCTTTCAAAAACATAAGCTCCCCCTTCCCCCCTTCGCAACTTTAAAGGCTGCAACAGTGAAGTGTTTACTTCTGAAATCAGTTTTCTCTTTTAGATCAATTACAGTCACGGTGGGACAATCAATCTGGTTAAAGTTACTTAAACTGACGACATATTTATAGCTAGCTACCTGAATAATAGCATCCGGTTTAATGGCACAGGATTTGAAGGCCACCTTTTACATCCACAGTAATGCAAAAATAAACTTTGTGTACTTGCAATGTTTTGAACAAGCATTTGCTCATGTATTTGTTTGCCTGTAGATAATTAAACCATTTCTGATTTAATTTCTCAGTTATTTTTAGTGGATTTTAATGTCTGTGAACCAGTCTCCAAGTCTAGCATTGATGGCTTTAAGTGATACAATTACTCAATTATAATGTAACATGAACAACCTTGTAATTTAGTTCCATAATTTGATATAATAGTTGGCAAAACAGACAATTTTTACCATTGTGCTTGTTTTTAATATTGTTTGTAGACTGAGCTAGCAGATCACATGTAACGGCAGTATACTTGATTTACATGTGATGACATAGACCTTTAATATATCTGTAGTTCACAAACTTTGACAGTTATATAATAGTATACAATATGATAAATACGATAATATAAATATGATATCAAAGCTTTTATATACCATGATTATCTGTGGTGTATTGTGAAATCCCTCAGTGTAATTACTCAATAAAAACTCAATATTTTGACTAATCATATTTGCCATTTCAAGACCGTAATAATCGTGTTTTGACATTCTGAAATATCTGTAATTCGTCACGCCATCTATGATGTCATACTTGAACATTTTGGCCTTTGGTCATCGACACAAGAGTTTATTTCATTAGTGATTGGTCACCACTGATCTTAAACATCTTTATCCTGTTTTTCCAAATATTTGCATTCTGCACATGGAAAATAGCCCTTGGCCATGGCTTTGAAAAGTGGTGGATAGAGATAAAGATAGATAGAAAACATACCGTACCTTCATGCCATCTCTCCCTGGAGCCCCGGGAGGACCCTAAACACACAACACATTTTGATTAAACACAAAACCACACATATCTATAAATTTTTTTTTTCCATAAATAGCATATAGTTTACATTTTTTTCTTTAAATGTATATGGGCATATAGCAGAGCAAGTCTGCCAAGACCAAATACATTAACATTCAATAACACGCTACAACTATTCAGAGAGTTGTCATGATTGAAATATCTAGTTCAGTCTGATGGGCTGATAGGTCCTTTACATGGAATCTGCAAGCAATCACACCATTTCCACATGGCACAAGCTGATTGGCCTCTGCTGATCCAGCAGCCAATGAGATTGCTTGCTCAACATTTAAATAATCTGGTTCATTGTTTGCTGTAAACTTGTAATTTTTAGAGTTCCTCTGAAACCCTCCACCTCCCTTATTGTTTCTAATGTAATTACAAACATTATTATAACGTTTCAAATCAAATAAATAAATGTTTTTGTTTAATGCTTGATTAGTTTGATTCTCATCTGTGTTATCCAGGATGTTTCAGGCATTTTGTGCCGGTGAGTTTGTGCAGTTGCAGTTGTGTGTTAGAAAATAACCCGTCCATTAGCCCGCAGGTTAACGGCGACACTTTTTAAATCCAAGCCCAGGAGTCTCCGGCTCATTCTGTAACAGGTCAGCCGTTTTGTTTTTGAAAATCAGTTATTTTGTATATGGATGGGTTGTAGTTATTCTGTGCTGTTTTTTGTCAATGTTGTATTATTTAAAGCTGCAGTCTGCAGTTTTTCCTCTTTGTCGCCATCTCAGTTCGAAATCTGCAATTGCAGTCATTCATGGAATTATCAACTTTACGTGGGTTGTACCTCGGCACGGCACAGCGTGGATGAATCCAATGTTTTGAGGAGAATGTGCGGCTGTCAGTCACCGAGCCGGTGTGGAAACTGTCATTCGGAATCACAGATTCTACTTTTTGGAAGTATGGCCAAGATAAGATTTTTCACTGGAAAATGTCATCTGAACAAGTAAGTAACATCCACTTTTGTTCTTCTGACCAACTAACAAAAAAAAAGCATTGCAGTAAATGGCGCTGATTAAATCTAACGATCGCGTATCATATCACGTCAAACCGTGAAAATTATACTTTGTTCTCAAATTGTTAATGTTAACAACATCAGCATTGCGTGACTACATTTAAAGCCCTTCAGATATTTATCCTTGTTTTCGCATGGGCCGGTTGCAGTCTCTTTTTCCAAACTCTCAGTCAAAAGTCTTTTGCATTTTACAACGGGTGAATCTCCAGTTGTCACGGTGATTGTCGTTTGAACCTTTCTGGATCCGCCATCAAATTAATAAGTTTAAGTATATCAAGTGCTGTGAGAAAAGGCTATAAATCTCCACCTCCAGCATCCTCACAGGCAATATAGCCTACTAGCCGAGACTTCTTCTTTGTGTACAGATGTGACGTAATGACGCAAAGACATGCTTAAATTTCTCGCAGAAATCCACCAGTACCACTGGAATTAAAAACATTATTACAAGCTTACCGCTTTGAATCGAGCTAAGGCAAGATAGTTTTGAACACTGGCTGGTTATGTACTTGCTCAAAAATTTATTTTGGATATTTTTTTAACCCAAAAAAGTTACGGACTGGAGCTTTAAAGGGGATGTCTAATGCTATTTCATGCATTATGACTTATTTACACTGTTACAAAGTTGGATTATCATGCTAAACATGGCCAAAGTAAAAAAAAAAAAAAAAAAAAACCTGTTGGACGTATGACGGAGTCTTTCTGTTCCAAATACACTCCCTCAAGGTTCGTATAAGTTTTGGAAAGTTTTTTCCGAGTATGGCCCTGTATGACGCCATGAAGGGTGGAATTCCTTGAATGGGCACTTCTCCAGGAAGAGAACGCGCACACATCTACCAGAGCGAGAGCGAGAGCTCCCACATCAACATGCTTCGTTCGGGTTACGGAAGTCATCCACAGCGCTGCACGGGCTCGACTGTTTTCGGAAAGAAGCGGTAAAGCTGTATCTGTCTTTTATAAATCTGATAAAACTAAAAGATTCTTCGGAGATATGAAGGAAGCAATACTACTCTAAAGGTACTCAAGATTAACATGAGATTGGTGTTACGCCCCTTTAATTCACAATTGATAAATGTTCACGTCTTTGTTTTGTATTCGTAATTGAAACATTGCCATAATTCAATAACATGCTAAAACTATTCCAAGATTTGTCATCATTGAAATTCATAATTTTTTTTTTTTTAAATTCATTAAAAATGGACGCACGCAAGAATAGTTGTCCGGAGGATTCTTTTAGGATTTGTGAAATTTGTCTCAGACGGCCAAATCATGGCAAAATCGCACAGTGTGCACCCGGCTTAAATTAGGTTCCAGAAATGTAGAAATATAATAATGTTATTGTTAATAAAAAGTCTTTATCATGCTGTAAAAAAACTACTATTAGAATTGTCCTTTAAATAAAAACCAACAAACAAACAATCAAGAGTTCATGTTTAAAAGTTCATCAGTCTTCATAAAATAGCTTTTGATCCGAACAAACCCATTTGAAAGCTAAAGGCCAAAGTAAGGACTTTCAGCAATCCAGGAAATACTAGATTCATCAAATTATAGATTTGATGGTCCTGTTCCAAAACTTCCAAATATTTTCACACATCAAATCATGCTTGTCCAGATCTCTAGGGCAGATCTGAGACGCATTTGTACCAGAATGGAAAACATGATTCATTGATCTAAAAATACTGCATTGAATTCTGTTTTTATGCGGGTGATTAGAGAGAGCTGTTTCTGGGCCAGCGGCAACGTTAACAGTCCTTTAGTAAAGACACAGAATACGTGTGTTCATGGATTGAGCGCTTGTGACAGACAGGGGAGTCTCATGACTACACACGTAGGGTCTCGGACTTGTATTCATGCACATGCAACACACAACACGATCCCACAGACGCAACTGGCGGCAGCTCCTTAAACAGCCTTTTCCAAGTATACTGTTCCAAACGGCATTGCTCCTCATTTATCAAATTTAAAAAAAGAAACTTTGAACACTCTCAAAATAAATTTATATTATGAGCTACGACTCCAGAGCATTGAAGGGCTCATGTTTCTACATCCAGGATTCATAAATTATTACACAACTTCAGAAGTATTTTTCTTCATTGACGACTCACGCTTTAGTGATGTGGTCCAATGCATTAAAAGCAAAAGGTCGACTCTATCAGACGGGGTAACAGTCGGCCTTGAGAAGCACACGGGCCAAAGAAAGCAACCCATGTGCAGTAACGCAGTCAGCCTTTTCTCTGTTATTGCCATTATCATTTGTCAACATCCAGAGGTAGGATGTATGTTGTGTTTTGGCATATTGAAAAATGTACTACAAAAGGCTTGGCACACAACCAGCTTTTTTGGTCAGAAATATAGCCTATCAATCGTCGGCTGAAAGGATGGGTGATCAAATATGAAAAAGGAGGACAGACAAGAACAAAAAAGGAATAAAAAAAAAGGATGAAAGTGATTCCTGTTACCCGTCCTAGTTTCCACCCCACCTGCAAAGACGCCCCCCTTCAGAGAGTCAGAGGTCATCCAGCTGAAGGTCAGGGGGTTTAGGGGACACGTGTTCAAACGCTAGCTCAGGCGGAGGTGACCCAGCTAGGCATGATCTGGAGAGCTGAAAATCTGTTGTTTTATTGGAGCTAGAAATTTGCAAACTTAAAGCTATATCCCTATTTTATTTCAATTAAAAATTAAATATAGTTTTTTTAAATAAATATATTAATATTTAATTTAAATAATATACATTATACATTATATATAACAGTAATATTATACATTATATAACAAATATATTAATTAAAATTAATATTAATTAGTTGAATAAAAATGCATGTATTATTATTAAATTATTTTAATATTAATTTTAATTATATTAATGTTATAAATTACTGTCAAAGCGACGCTTTGAAAAAAGTATGAATGTGGTTTTAATTTATTTAAATTATGTTAAATTACAATTAATATAAACAATATAAATGATCTATTAAAATATAGTTATTATATTTTATTATATATATTAAAATATTTATTAATAACATATTACTTAATTAAATTACTTCAAGAAATATTAAAATAATTAAATAAGAATAAATGTATCATTTAAGAATATATTTATACTGTCAATAAATTCAGTTTATTTTCCTTTTGATATCTGGGACAGATATTGTTGCATACATGTGAAAAACAAAAACAAACTGCATATTAAACATCAAATATGCACAACGCAGAATCTGCATAGCAACACCCTGGCAACCACTCACACTACCACAGCATCATGGGGGCAACTGTATGCATGAGCAATAATATTTTTAAAGAATATACAATGTCTTTGATTTGTACTAATATTTGACTGAAGGCAATGTTTTGAAATTGGGACTGTGTGTATATAATATTTTGTTGTGGGTTGTGGGTTTGATATGACACAGTGATTAACAAGAAAAAAAATGAAATGGTACTTCATGTCAAAGAAAAGTATGTCTTGGCGCAGTATTAAATGTAAACACAGTCGATAATGCCTTAAATGAATGTAAACAGTCGGGACATAAAAACTGGTAAGTGTCAAAATACTGGATCTGGCCATTAGGACTTGCAGTGTAATAGTGTGATAAAGTCACACACAATCTCTTCCATGTAAATTTAAATTAGTCTCAAGCAGGTTCAACAGTGAGAAGCAGGATATTCTGTTGCAATCTAAATGGTCCAAAATCCAACACCGCATACGCTGGTAGCCCAAAGCCTTTTTAAATGATTTTAGTGCAAACAAAACAGATCCTGCACCTGCTGATCCAGTTTCAGTCTTACAAGGCTGTTGAAACTATTAAGAGCCTCCCGTAAAAGCAAACACGAAATGGAACTGCATCCAAAAAACAAAGAATTCCATGGCTACAAGAGCTCAAAACTGATTATGTCCCAAATGAGAGCAGACATTACAGATTTACTCAGTGTTCATGACCTTAGAGTACAAATATTTCAACTACAAATGCATCTTAAGTGTATAAAGAAAACATTCAGTGATATTTCCATGTCAACAACATACCTAATTTCTCAGTAGATCTACAAATATTCGCGGTCATGAACTTAAGACATTGTCTCCAGAGGCTAGATACACACATGCCGCAAAGTGATGATTTTGCTGAAAAGGTTAACATTAGAAAGTCTGCTGTGATTCACAGCACTTGTAATTTAAGTGTGAAAAAGTGTGTGTGTGTCTGTGTGAGACCGTCAGTCTGGGGAAGAATGTGTGAAAGAGTAATGAGGGTTAACAGTCTGTAACAGGAAGTGTAAAGCGTGTCACCGTCGATGGCAATCGCAGGTCAGCGAGCTATATCACTATCATGCTGTGTCTAAAATGAAGCTTGGCTCAATAAATCTGCAAATGCTAAAAGTGTAAAATGAAGAGTTTAAGATCAAGTACAACTAACAATTGTAAGTGTATAATGATGTTTCAAATCTTTCCACCAGGGGTGTTCAATCCTACTCCTGGAGGCCTAACTTCCAGCAGAGGTTATGTTTAAATGCCTGATCGCACCAAGTCCAGAGTTCAAATTTTGAATGTTGACCGCCTTGGCAACTAACAATTACTAAAAGTACTAAAATTGCTTAAACTAACACTGAAATATAAAAATAAACAAATACTATAATAGTTTATAAATAATTCGGTCACACTTTAGATTAGGGTCCAATTCTCACTATTAATTAACTATTAACTTTGACTTTTGCCTCAATCTCCTAATTGCTGCTTATTAATAGTTAGTAAGGTAGGTAAGTTTAGGTATTGGGTAGGATTAAGGGATGTAGAATATGATCATGCAGAATAAGGCATTAATATGTGCTTTATAAGTACTAATAAATAGTAATAAGCATGCTAATAAGGTTAGCATGCACTAGTTAATAGTGAGAATTGGACCCTAAACTAAAGTGTAACAAATAATTCTAAAATAACACTGACTGATTATATTATATTTCTATATAATATTAATTAATATAACACAGAAATTACAAATACTACTATTACTACGAATACTACTACTAGTACTAGTACTACTATTATTATTATTATATTGTAGATTATTTCACAAATTTAGAAAAAATAAACTATTTATTTAATGTTATAGTAGGGCTAGAACTAAACCTCAGTGGGAAAATATATGTCCAAGAGAAGGATCGAGCACCACTGATTAAAAAACCTTGAACCTGCTTAAGTACATCCTTTAGCTAGTCATAATAAATGTGGACACCCAACTAGACTTATGTTCAAGAATGTAACCCACAGGCCACCCGGATGTCACAAAATGGATGCTGAGCCAAAGCGAGTTATCTTCACAGAGCTTAATGGTGAGGAACAGACAAATGGCAATGGAAAACAGCACCACTGCCCTGTGTCCGAAGCATTAACATACATCAGGATTAAATGGAGCAGTGCAAGACTAGGCTAATTACAATGATTAATATAGATGCAGTAAAATGAACTAGTGCACATTAGTCCTCAAATCAGACACTTTAGGATACTGATTATAGCTGATAGTACATGGTTTGTGAGCTCTCTAGGGCTACGTTCAGACCGTATAGGCAAAAGTGGCCCGAATGTTTTTGCAGAACACCGTGTGAACAGAACAAACCACATGGAATCTGATCTTTTCGATTCTGATTTGAGCCACTTCCATACGTGGTCCTAAACCAGATACAAGTCTGATGTTTTGAGTGCGACCTCAGTCTGAACAGTCACATCTGAATTCATGCAACTTTTACGTCACTCTAGATCAACATTTGTCACAATTCTGCACTGCTGATTTTTCATACCGGTGGTTGTTTATAATAATAATAATAATTCGTTACATTTATATAGCGCTTTTCTAGGTAGTCAAAGTGCTTTACATGTGGACGGGGAAATCTCCTCAACCACCACCAATGTGCAGCATCCACCTGGATGATGCGACAGCAGCCATATTGCGCCAGAACGCCCACCACACACCAGCTTATTGGTGGAGAGGACACTCCACCAATAAGCCAATGAGACTTAGTCAGTGGAAGGACAAAGAGCTGTTATACTCTTGTATTACGGTGACAGCTCTATACAATCAAAACATGAGGAAAAACTGTACGAGAAAAACTTTGTTTTCTTTCTTCTCATCCTTCTTCAGCGGCACATCACTTTATAAATGCAGTGTGAACATAGCCAGGTTACTTAGGAGGATTGATACGTACCATTGGGCCACGTCGTCCCTGTTTAATATGAGACAGGTCCGGTGAGGGCCCAATGGGCCCCATGTCTCCTCTGGGACCAGGCAAACCTGGTGGCCCCATCTGTCCTGGGGGGCCAGGGAAACCTTTGGGTCCTGGGCTCCCTGAGAGAAACATAAGAAGTGACAGGTTTAAAGAAGAAAGGCATTATGCAAAAAAAAGAAAAAAAGAAGAAAAAAAAGGATGACATGAATGGAGAAAATAAACACTAAAGCCCTGTCCCAAATGGCACACTCCGGACTTGTGGACTTCCTCAGAGTCCACACTTCGGTGACGTCATGTAGTGCAGACCTATAGGGCCCTTAGGTATTTTTGGGACAGACTTGATCGTCACGCCGGAAACAGGAAGACGGTCTGATTGTTGTTATGGACAGGAGCTACAGGTGTTTACATATGACTCAGTAAAGCCCTGACATTCTGTACTATTTATTTAATGAATCATAATGCGATCGTATTATTCAGCTTGCTATTATTAGCCTATGTTTGAGACATCAACCACTGGTCGATGATCATAATGTTTGTATAAACTTGTCATAAAAACCGTAATGATAATTACACTTAAATATTTTCTTCTCAGCCATGTTAACAATTGTCCGTGAGCGAAATCTCCTCCCATCCGTTGTCTGATTGGCCTTTCGCAAGGATTCCTGGTAGTTAAAGTGCGTGGAGCCTGCATCTATGCGGGCTTCGCGGAAGACCGCTTCAAGGGTACAAAGGGGGCGCTGCTGAGCACACTTCAGAGCGTTAAAATGCTAAATGGGACGGCCTACGGACTCGTAGACTCGGCGAGCACGCGCAATTTAAGTCCACGAGACCGAAAGTCCGCATGAAGTGCGCCATTTGGGACAGGGCCTATATAACTGTCACCCTCCTTTTTGAGCATAGACACAGAAATGCCATTTCTAAACTTAAATGTTTGTAATAAGTGAATGCTTTGGAATAAAGACCTGAGGTTGGTCTATTTTTAAAAAAAGACACGCAGCAGATTATTAAAAAATTAAAGAGCAAAAATGTTATAGAAGTTAAAATTTATTGTAAAGCAAATGTACTGTAATAAACATTTTTATTTTATACAAAATATTTGTTACAGGACAAGTTTTACTCTAAAACTGCTATAAAATCAAAGCCATATGTCTAACTAAGTTGTGTTCCAAATTTGAAGTAGATTCCACAAAAATTTGATTTTGTTTATACCAAAACTAGCCACCAGGTGACACCTATATGCCACTGAATTTTTTTTATGCATTCTCCTGTAACATATTAATACATTTCTGTCACAATATCACTTCTATCACAAAACAGTCACCAAATATGGAACATTTAGTCTCAGACCTTTCCAATGATATGTGTTTAGTCAAGATTAGAAAAGGTTGATGATAAAATAGTTAAAATACATTTTGTAATATGAAACATGACACCGCCTAGAGGGAGGAGCCCGCTAAAAGAGTGTAAAGTACCGTTTTCATGCTAACGCAATGTCCAATTTAAAAATGGTTTTCACAGGATGCATTCTGAGTGTATACGCTTTCGTTTTATGACTAAAATATGTTATAGGAAAAAAGGCGATAAAATAGAGCGGCAAGCGTCCCGCAAGCAAGACGGTTACAGTTAAGGACAGTTAACAAAGCTCACCTGAAGGCCCAGGTGTCCCAGGAGGTCCAGGTAAAAACGAGTGTGTCATCATCATCTTTTCATTGGTCATCTGCTTATTGACCTCTGTGTTGCTTGGCAACAAGGAAATCTGAGGAAAGGAGAGTTAAACAAAACGTTAAAGGGTTAGTTCGCCCATTTAAGACATGAAGTTGTATGCAATCCTTACCAGCACTATAGTGCATACACACTGACCCACTCTGTTGTCACCTCCCTGGTCAGAGTTCTGGCCGCTGGAAGTTTTTCAATGAAGTACTCCCGGTTATTTTCCGGGGTCACAAAACTGTGCGTTTTTACGTGAAAAAATTATTTGCGTTTCAAAGCTTGATTAATTTACCACACAAAAAACACGCCGGTCAAAATTCATACCTCAGTTTTAATCGGCACTATTTTCTATCCATTTCTATCAATCCGCGCTGCTGTCAACGTCAACAGTGCGCACGTTCCGATCAGCTGTTCCATAGTGTTTACACAATCGATTGACAACGACGTAAAAAGTATTAAATTAACAATGGTGCGAACTTGTAAATTCCTAGGCTGTGACCACAACGATGTGCCGGGATCAAAGTTCAGATTCCATCGTTTTCCTGTTTCGAATATAACTATGAGACAGCTTACCGAGCATAATCCATCTGCTGTTAGTCGTCCTCACCAGCAGGGGGTGCAAGCGCGTGTTGTTGATTTGGCTGGTTGCCATCGGCTACCCTGCGGGAGCTAAAATATCCAGAATAAAGGATTTTCGTGTGTGTAGTGTTCACTTCAGCGAAGACGATTACATCCCCAACCAAGGAGGAAAAGGAAAATTAAAGAGTTTTGCTGTACCAGTACCACGGGTAAGCTCTATTTACTAACTTTATGATCCTATGTCTAAACTGTACGGTAAACAAGCTGATGTTTAGACTCCATTATAAAACACGTGAAAAGATGTCTAATATAAAAACAGTATAGCCCAGTGGCGGCTCCTGCTAAATCTCTCAGGGGGGGCAAATGTTTGGATTATTGATAAGGATAAGGTCCACCCATGCAATGGATGAATTAACAGCTTAAGCATGTAAAGGCAACTTCTCTACTTTAAGATTGTGTTGCAGACCTGACAAAATAAATAAATTTATTTTAGTTATAAAATAAATTATTTATTATAATATAAATATAGAGATACAAGGTTTCCATCCCGACAGCAACAATGTATCAGGCAGAATCCATATTGTATATTTCCCTATTTTTTCAAAAATTAATGCTATTGGTCACCCTTTACATCTGTCAATGTGTTTTACAAATATTTTACGAATGGAAAGAATTAAAAGAGCTTGGGAATTATTTTGGGGGAAAAACAGGTTTTCTTTCGTTTCCTGAAAAGTAACAGTTTTGGACAAGGCTTCCGTCCGACAGCGCTGATGATGTGTGTGTGTATGTGTGTGTTATTACGTTAATTAACATTTTACCAAAATTCAAGCTCAAATGGAGTTTGACAAGGGTTTTTGACCAGTAAATGTATTTTCAATCCACTCAGATAGTTTAAGTTATTTTATTAAAGATTCCACTAGGTGGCGACAAATAATATTGTTGACTGAATCGTTGACATGTAGGATAAAGATTGTGTTGGTGTTCGAATGGAAATGTACAAATTTCAAAGTACAATGCTAGGAGTAAAAAAGACTGCTACCATCCTTTCCTAAACTGATTGTAAAAACAAAGTGAGATTTTCCAACACTCGAGTATTAAAATGTTCAGCAATAAATACCTCTTTAGACAGCCTCTGCTTGTCTTCTTCTCCCAAGGCCCTCCTAGATCTTGTTGTTCCTGTTGCTACTTGCTCCTGCTCAATGTATGCTGATTACTACGACGGGCTGAATGGTATTTATTTTAATGACACGATAAATGACTGTGTTATGACTGCGTTCGCCATGACGTTGTTCAAGTTCAACTGGTCCCAACAGTCTCTCTCGCTCTCGTTCTTTTTTATTTTTATTTTTTTAATCACATTTGATAAAGATATTATAGTAGTGTTTCATTTTTTCTTGTTATTCAAATTCAAAATTGTTTTCAAATATTATTTGTCACTTAATCTTAAAGATTTTTAATAGTGTGTGTTTGTTCCCACCAATCGCTGCACAAGTTAAGGATACGTATGATGACGTAAGCACGTTAGTGCGAGCCCTCCCGGAACCCATAGAGAATGCATTGCAGTGCCTGCAGTTAGAAAAAAAAACATCTTTGAATGCAAGTCTATGGGAACACTCTGGGCGATTCTCAGCCATAGTGAAATCGCCCAAAAAGAGGCGGTACTCTACAGAACGTGACATGACGCTGATTGGACTATAGTGACGGCTAGCGTAACTCTGTGGTTGAATGAGATTGTGAATGTGATTGAAAAAGTCACTTTTACACTTTGGTGGTGCGTCGCCCAATCGCCCTAATGAAGAAACCGCCCCTGGTATAGCCTATAGGGATATTGGTACAATTTGCTGAGAAAACTATTTGATTGAACACACACAATTGAGGTTTGGTGTTGCAATCAATAACATTGTTGTTCTGCTAAAATTACTTTCATCATCTGATTCGTCTGACATTGTGCTAAAATTGGTTTCATCATCAGAAGTTTCGCAGTCAGACATGTTGTCAGCGAGTCGCGCTATCAACAGCTGATCGGAACGTGCGCACTGTTGACGTTGACAGCAGCGCGGATTGATAGAAATGGATAGAAAATAGTGCCGATTAAAACTGAGGTATGAATTTTGACCGGCGTGTTTTTTGTGTGGTAAATTAATCAAGCTTTGAAACGCAAATCATTTTTTCACGTAAAAACGCACAGTTTTGTGACCCCGGAAAATAACCGGGAGTACTTCATTGAAAAACTTCCAGCGGCCAGAACTCTGACCAGGGAGGTGACAACAGAGTGGGTCAGTGTGTATGCACTATAGTGCTGGTAAGGATTGCATACAACTTCATGTCTTAAATAGGGGAACTAACCCGATTATTCAACAATATGACGTTGAGTAAATTTGTTAGAACTATTTCTTCCAGCATATGTTTAAGGATGTTACGGTCACCTGATAGCAATTACAGTACAACAATTTGGAAACTACAATTTTTCATGTTTTTGAAAGTAGTCTCTTATGCTCACCAAGGCTGCATTTATTTGATAAAAAAATTAAGTAAAAACAGTAATATTGTGAAATATTATTACAATTTAAAAGAATTGTTTTCTATTTGAATATTTTAAATGTAATTTATTCCTTTTATGCAAATCTGAATATTCAGCATCATTAGTCTTCAGTGTCACATGATCCTTCAGAAATCATTCTAATGTACTGATTTACTGCTCAAGAAACATTTCTTATTATTATAATCTGCTTAAATTTTTGCGGAAACAATGATACCATTCAAACATTTGTGGTAAGATAAAAAAAAAGAGAGAGAAATTAATACTTTTAATCAAAATTTTATTCATTCAAGGATGCAGTAAATTGACCAAAAGTGTCAGTGAAGACAATTATTATGTTACAAAAGGTTTTTATTTGATAAAAGCTTTAATAAATTGAATAAATGCAATTAAATGCTGTTCATTGAAATTTCTATTCATAAAAGTATCACCATTTCCACAAAAATGTTTATTACAATATTACTGTTTTTACAGTATTTTGAATGAAATAAATGCAGCCTCGGTGAGCATAAGAGACTTCTTTCAAAAACTGTAACGTTTCCAAGCCTTTGACAGGTACTGTACATCATCTGACAGGAGGGAGTGGCTAAAATATGCGATATTACAAGGAAGATATGAGAATTATAATTGAAACCAAAGTAACATGAGCATGTAATCTGATCTATAAACTGTAACATATGCCATTTACAAAAACAGGAAATCCCTGAATTATTCAGGTTGGTGCATGGACTGAGATCAGTGCCTGTCTTTTACAAGCGTTCTTTGTGAAGTATTTCACTTCAAAGAACTGGAAGTATCCATTACCTGCTAACCTCTGAGCTCTGGACATCAGTACATTCACACACACGCACAGACCTTTGAGGTCTCGCCACACACAGCAGATACAGCCCTAGGCCAAGCGCATAAATCTGCGCAAGTGTCTATGTCCAGCCCTTTGCAAGCAATTTAAATCTCATTTGTCATTGTTTCTGGTTTTGATTTGTGTCGGGTTCCTCGGACTGCACATATTTAAATTCTGAGTGCCAATGTCAACCACTTATGTGCCGTGAAGAACAGTCAATTTTGCAAAAAAAGATCTGTAGTTGAACTAAAACACTACTATTCTGATTCAAAACCTAGTGAATATTGCAGACTGCTGCCTAAATAGTAAGCTATACCTTCTAAGGCACCATCCTAATCCTAACCGTCATGTAACCTCATAAATTTGGTAATCACAAAATATTCTGAACATTTTGAATTTGACTTCAAATATATTTTAATGAAACTGTTCAGTATTGAATTACACATACAGAATGGTAGTGTAAGATTTTTCTAATGTTTAATCTTGAAAGAAGTCTTTTTTGCTCACCAAGGCTGCATTTATTTAATCAAAAATACAATATTAGCAGTAATATTCTGAAATATTTTTCAATTTCAAATAACTGTTTTCTTTTTTTATATACTTTAAAATATAATTTATTACTGTGATGCAAAGCCGAGTTTTCAGCATTACTGAAAGTCTTCAGTGTCACATGATCCTTCAGAAATCATACTTATATGCTGATTTGCTGCTCAAGAGACATTTCTTATAATTATCAATGTTGATAACAGTTATTTTTAAAAAAAAAAAGTAGTTTTTATATCACCTTCTCATAGAACCAAACCTTTTGCCTCACTCTTACAAGTTCACCAAGTTTTTTACTCTCTCAGTCTTTTCCCTCACAGTCTGTTGGACCACACACACAAGAGCTATATATCAAGCCGTGACCATGAGGGTGCTGAGTAGATTTGTTGACAGTCTCGCTCTGACTGCAGAACACTGACTCTGCGCCCTCAGCCCGTCTAAACCGCATCACTGCGTTCAACATGATTTACTAGCCTGCAGCAAGGACAGACATAAGTCACACTACCAGATCGCTCAGCCATTTGGGCCATGTTTTAGCGCTTTTTATTTCGCCTATAAAGTCGCCAACACATCCCTGAAGACCTGTATAACCTGACTCTGACTTGCTTGTGAAATGTTGGCAGGTAGGCTCTCGTTGGGTCGGCTTAAGTCTACGGATTAGGACATGCATATAAAAAGAAATCTGCTGCTTGTTTTAATGAATAAGCCCTGCAGGTGAAACTGGAATAGTGTACCTTCTGTTTGAGTTGGAGAACAGTCATCTTCATCTGATGGAAGTCTTCACATGTGGCCGAACATGTTCCCTCTTTCATGACGTTGTCTGACTTCTCAAACAGCGAAGCTGTAAAGAGACAACATGCATGTGGAATTTAAGGAAGGTTGTTGGACAAAAGAAATTGCAACAAGCTCAGTGAAAAGATTCCATCCATGATGGCAGACGAGTTGAGGGAACTGTTGATTATCAATACACATATTTCATGAAATAAAAAAGTTCTCAATGAAAGCAATTCAAACTCGTAAAAAAATTACTATTTTACCCATTTTTATGCTTAGAGCATTGCACCATTAGCTTAGCAACTTGCTAACATCAAATTTGAACGAAATCAACTGTCAAGCCTTGTGAAAAAGAAGTAGACTTAAGCATCCTTTTGAAAAAAAGAGTACTTATGTAAATAATCTACTTTAAAAGAATATACTAGTGCAAACTGAATGTAACTGTTTTTTAAATGTTAAAAATTAAGCTAAAATGTATTATAGTTTACATTTACTGTATATTAAATGCAATTAGTTATCTTAAGAGTGCTTTTTTGATCCACTTAAGCAGGCCTTTATATGTAAATTCATAATTACTTCTATTGTCTGTGGAATATGGTAAAAGTGTACTGCCGATTGTGCTGAAAAGCTTGTATGGTAAACTAAAATATACTTTAATGTAATTTCTAATGAAACTTGTCTATTTGCAATTATTATATTTGTATAGTATTATTATATTTGTATATTATATTTATATAAGTTACAATTTAAATTTAAAATGTATGTATAGTATAATGAAGTACTTTACATGTGCTTTTGTATGTTAGTCAACACATTAAAATAAATGCACTTTAAAGCATGGCAACAGATTATTAAAGCAATGATTTAAAATGTACTTTAAAGTAAAACTATTAATTTTACATTATAAAAGTGCTTACTGTAAGTGTGTTGTGAAACAGTCAGGAAACACTACTCTAAGTAAGTATACTTAAGTGGCCTTTTATTTTTTTCTATTATATATATATATATATATATATTTTTTGTTTTTACAGTTACAGCGCGTACAGCTGTTGTCTATGTAGAGTGTTCTAAATCAATAACTTATGAGATTCCATTTCAATCAGTAAGATCTTATGAAGGCAGTAGACAACAAGGTAGCTCACTCGCTTTTGGGACACATCTAATGTTGCCATCAAACTGTGCCATAAACAACAGAGATCCTAAAGTCCCCCTGTGGTGAAAATCAAGCTTTTAATGTTGTTTTATGTCTATGTGGTGTTTTTAATATGCTTTAAGACAAACCATGTGCAAATTCATCCGTCAACACCATTGCTGAGTATTTTCTCCTTAAAACTGCAGTGAACCAAAGGAAGCCTCAAAAACGCGGTTCGAAATCGCTGACGTCACAAACTACCTTGTAACCAATCCCGTCAGCGAGTGGATCTCTGAGCAGGTGTGAGTGAGTGGAGGCGGAGCTAATTTGTATATTCTTAGAACCACGTATACTAAATGAGGCAAGGGTGTCGAGGTACAATCAAGCTATTTTAAGGCATGAAGAATTTTTTTCAAGGACAAAACATTTAAATATGTCAGTTTGGTGATCAAAGATGAGTTTTAAGGGATACAAATATTGACTACAGGGGAACTTTAAGTCTTATTCAAGGTCATAATTGGGGCTCACTCTGTACAGGCATCATCAGAATTGTACTAGCTCAGGCCATTCCTGCCAAAAGTCCTCTGAGTTATATCACAATCTCCAACAGCTTAGTTTGACTCAACTGATAACCTCATCTGATCCACACACTGTAATCTCAGAGTTCTGGAATTCTCAGAATTCTTTTTTGTACATCTGGGTTGTTGCATCCCTGAATGCCCCAAAAGGTCATCCCGTTTGGCACTCAAACTGACCCAAAAGAGAGGAAACAGCACACAGGAAACTCTGACAGACTGACACGCTCCACAAGAAAGCCAAAAAGATAGATGGACAGAGGAGAGGAGAAGAGGAAGTGATTGATGCTAATGCTAACCGCTAGCTGGTGTCCAAAGTCATTAACCGCAATGGGTCAGTGGACTTCCTGCAGGGAGGCAGGAAGCAATGTCTTATAAACATGTCAAACCAGAAGAGGCTTCAGAATGGATTTTATGTAAATAGTGAGGTGATTAAGAGTTAAGCCATATCTGACATGAACTTATGATGTTCTTGGTATGCAACCAAAGCCAGGAACAAGGAACATGTTGCACACATGCAAAGCTCCAAGTTAAACATGTCCCTGTGCCATTATTCAGATACAAAGGAAACATAAAAATTTAGCATCCACCCTTTCCACTTGGCTTATTTTCTTCAAACCTCTGCTTGCATTTGCATTGCAACAATCAGACCTTAAAGTTTAATGATGCATCAATGACCAGTCGGAGCATTTTACAGACCGCACTCTCTCCTTTCCACACCTGTCTGATAGAGAGATCTGTGCATGGATAGTCAGGCACAGACAGGAAAACGAATATCTCTGGTTCTTCGTGTTCTATATAAAACCTCATACAGCAGCGATTCGCCTTTTCCGTGCTCCATTAGTTTTGTTTGTTGGAAATGCATTGGCGAATCAGAGCAGAACTGTGAGGTTTGCAAAAGCAGCTTCCAACGGGAAAGTGGCTCTCAAACTGAACAAAAATCTCACAGAAAAACTTTGGAAATGAACTACAATCCCACAAAGCATGGCAAATCCGGCAATCAAATTAACCAAGATGATTCAACATAAAACTACTGACAATACAAATAACTTAAAAAATAAGCATACAAATATGCTAAATTCAAAGGTTATTAGAAAATTATTTGACTGCCAAGTTGATTTATCTATACAAGCGAACAACAACTTCTCTGGACCTTGCTTCAGGATTACAGGTCGTAAGGTACTTAATTTGGGCAATTAATCATTTTTATTAAGGCCGACAGGAGGGGGTCAGTGAACAGTGTGGGGCCATTAATGAATTTAACAAATGGGTCCGAAAAAAGTGTGACAAACACTAAAGTACAGAAGAAAAGTAGAAAAACAAATTCCAAAAGAAAGAGCAAGGAAACTAATAGAATAAAGATCTTTGCTGAGAAAGGGATCCAGAGCATACACTCACCTCTCTCGCCCTTGGTGCATGTTTTCCCATCATCCTCTAAGTAGAAGCCTCTCTCGCACTCACACTGGTAGCTGCCGGGGGTGTTCACACAGATCTGTGAGCACACCGTCTCGTTATTGTTGGCACATTCATCAATGTCTGACGCAAGAACAAAGAGTGAAAGTGTGAGGGACGGAAAGTTGGCAAAGCGCAAAAGACGTGATATTCGCTCCTCAGGCACTATACGGAGCGCTTCTGTGATATCAGCCGGAGAAACAAAATCTGACTCCCATTAAATTAACACTTCAGCAGTCTTGGAGGTCAGACCCTTTAAGAAACACTCACGCTGATATTAAAGAAACATAGAGAAATCAAGCCCCATGAACTAAAAACAACCTATAGAGGTTGCTAACATCTTCATACGGTTAAATATACTCCAGATCAAACAAGTCAAATTTCAAAACATCTTAATCAAATTACAAGTTTAAAGTCTTCTTTTGAAAAACAAATTGCAGCACAGAAAAGGTTCTATATAAAACTTGAAATGGATCATTCATATCATAGGATCACAAGTTTGTTATAAAATGTTATGAATGAAACAGCAAGTAAACATACTTTATCAAGAAAAAAATTAAATAACCCTAGGTTTCTATCTATATCTTTTTTTTCTAAGAGAGTGATATTAGAGTTCATGGGTGTCAAAATAAATTAAAATGACAAACCTTTTGAATAAAAAAAAAAAGATGCCCTATTATTATTATTTATTTATTACAATTTTACAGTTTAAGAATATATAAAAATAAAATAAAAATGAAATGGGCACATGTACATTAGAGTCTCAAAAACATATAAAATGATGTTAATGCAAAGTTTAATGAGAAATGTTAATGGTAGAAATGGTAAAAATATAATAAAAATAAAACTAAGGGCCAGATTTATAAACAGCTTGCGGCAGCGCAAACCATCTTTTGGCGTTAAAAAACTACTGTCAGGATTAGCTAAAGACACGCAGTGAAAAATCTGCGCTGAAAAGGTGTGAACAGGGTTATTTTTGCATCTGACGTTATTGCATATGCATTTGTAGGAGTTTCCCTTTCAGATGCAAAATTTATGGGAGGAGAATATTTAAATGAATCATGCAAGGTGATTTACAAGGCTTGCTCTACTCAATAAACTGGTATTTGCGCCATTATTTACAGCCCCCCAAAAAAGCATATCTTAAACCAGACTTTAATTCGCGTTGCTCTTGGTAGATTGCGTTGGTCAAATGGAAATGCTCCGGCTGCATTTGTGTTCTTTAATTTGCTCGTCGTCAGTAGATCACGCGCTGAACTTTCCACTAACATCGGCACTTTTTTGGAATTGCGCTCTCACGCTAATTTGCCCTGTTTAGTATATCTGGCCCTAAAATGGGTATATGTAAAAAAATTTCTTGCTTATGATTGATGCATTCACAACTTTGCAGCATTTGCAGTGTAAAAACTGTGAATTCTGGAACATTTCAGTTATTGCCCAACTCTACCACTCTCTGCATTTGAATATACTCCAAGTATACACTTTTATCAATATATTCATATAAATATGAGCAAAATCTTACCCAGGCAGTACGGTTTCTCACGGTTTCTATGTCGTTCCCGGTCATAGCGGTACCCAGAGTAACAGGTGCACACCACACGGCCAAAATGATCGGTACACTGCTGTTCACATGGAGCGCCGGCACACACATCATAGTCTGCAAATACAAACACACCCACAAACAAACAGATATAAACACAACAAGAGAGGATTACAAACATAAATCCTAGCTATAAAACAAAAACCACAATATCGTTGTAATTTCCGGAAATCGTATGCAAATGTGCTACTTCAAATCTTTTCCCTTCAGAATTTTAATTTAATAGTACAAACAAAACACTGTGGTCTAGGAAGCCAGTACTGCAAGTCCGAGTCCAAGAATTCTCGCATCTTTTCCTTATTCCACGATTTATCCTGGAAGAGCCAAATCCATCTCAGTCACAGCATGAAGTGCCGTGTGAGTCAGGGAAATGTGTGTCCATTCTCGACTGGTACTTTATGTGTTTCTCATCAGTGGAGAGGGGGCAGGTGAGGACACCCAAGAACATAAACAGCATAAAAAAAGCAAAAAGACAAAAACAAGCTCTAGACTGTCTCAAAGGGCTGTTTCAGAGACCAATATACACCCTCTCAATGTGGCAGGGCGAACCGCAGAACGCAGACAATTTAATTGCATGCTTTTATTTGACAGTTACGAGTAAAAACTTGTTAGTGGTTTGAACCCCTCAACCAAAGATCGAGAAGTATATTACTGTATTCATAAGCTAATATACAGACCTGTTCCCACTATAAAAATACACACGAGGTAATCAAGATATCGTTACTGGTTGGGAAACTCTGCCAAGCTCTTTAAGGTGTGCTGGAAATGTTAAAACAACATTAAAAGCACCCGCTGAGTTATTTCCAAAAGGAATGATTTTGTTTAGAACCCTAATGGGAGACGAGGGAAAACCCGTCCAGAAATATCAGAGCAAATTCAACCCAGAGGAGTCTAGTGTGGGTAGAGAGAGAGAGAGAGAGAGAGAGAGAGAGAGAGAGAGAGAGAGAGAGAGAGAGAGAGAGAGAGAGAGAGAGAGAGAGAGAGAGAGAGAGAGAGAGAGAGAGAGAGAGAGAGAGAGAGAGAGAGAGGTCTTACCTTCTGGAATACACTGTCCCAGTACAAACTTAAAACCTTCACAGCACTTCTTTCTGAAAGAGAGAAGAAATGACTTTAAAAGTATGATTATGGCTTACCCTTGACGCTAGGGTAAGGATGTTGCTACACTACTGTTCAAAAGTTTGGGGTTAGTAAGATTGATTTTTCGCAATTCCAAAAAAGCACCGATGTTAGTGGAAAGTTCAGCGCGCGATCTACTGACGACATGTAAATTAAAGAACACAAATGCAGCCGGAGCATTTCCATTTGACAAACGCAATCTACCAAGAGCAGCGCAAATTCGTGTCTGGTTTAAGACATGCTTTTTTTGGGCAGTAAATAATGGTGCAAATACCAGTAAATTGACAAGTGCAAACCTTAGTAAATCACCATGCATGATTCATTTAAATACTGTGTCTGAAAGGCAAACTCCTACAAATGCATATGCAATAAGGTCAGCCGCAACAATAACCCTGTCCACGCTACTGTATCGCCAAAATCAAGCTGGAGCAAGCTGTTAGTAAATCTGGCCCCAAGAATGTTACAAAAGATTTCTATTTCTGAAAAAGTACTGTTTCCACAACAACATTAAAGGATTAGTTCACTTTAAAAAAAACTTTTGCTGATAATTTACTCACCCCCATGTCATCCAAGATGTCCATGTCTTTCTTTCTTCAGTCGAAAAGAAATTAAGGTTTTTGATGAAAACATTCCAGGATTTTTCTCCATATAATGCACTTTGCTGGGCAGCAAACGGTTCAAGGTCCAAAAGACAGTTTCAGTGCAAACTGCAAACTGTTCAAAGGGCTTTAATCGATTCCAGACGATGAATAATGGTCTTATCAAGCGAAACGATCGCTCATTTAAAAAATAAATAACAAAGTTTAAGTTTAATAATGTCAAATGCTCGCCTTTCTCTGTTCTGTGATGCACGTTCGTGACTCTCCTGTTCGAACTCGTTCATCAAAATGAACAAATCTTTTTTCGAGTCATTTGGTTCATTTAACGAACGAAATGAACGAATTGACTCGGAAAAAGATTCGTTCATTTTGATGAACGAGTTCGAACAGGAGAGTCACACAGAACAGAGCAAGGCGAGGATTTCAGCTTATAAAACCTATACTTTGTTATTTCTTTTTTAAATGAGCGATCGTTTCGCTTGATAAGACCCTTATTCATCGTCTGGTATCGTTTAAAGCCATTTGAACAGTTTGCAGTTTGCACTGAAACTGTCTTTTGGACCTTGAACCGTTTGGTGCCCAGCAAAGTGCATTATATGGAGAAAAATCCTGGAATGTTTTCATCAAAAACCTTAATTTCTTTTCGACTGAAGAAAGAAAGACATGGACATCTTGGATGACATGGGGGTGAGTAAATTATCAGCAAAAGTTTTTTTAAAAGTGAACTAATCCTTTAAGCAGCAGAACTGTTTTCAACATTGATAAGGCCCTGTTTACACCTGGTATTGAGAATGTTTTGGTCGATGGGATCACAATTAGACGAGGCGGACAAATACCCGTTTACACCTGGTGTTTTAATCTCTTTTGTTCACTCTCAACCTTTCCTGAATTCTCACACATTTTGTTTCTAAATGCTCAAATTATGACAAAAAAAATAAAAAATTTCAGGCTGGACCATCCAATGCGCATGTGCAGTCATAAGTGCGCATCTCTGAACACTGACTGTTTCTGTAGAAAACGGAGCTTCTAACAGCAGCTGACGTAATGACTTTGCCAATTAACGATTGGCTATTTTATTTAGAAGGCGGGACTTATTCCTCCATATTTTTGAGTAGCACTTTCTCTTATTCATAATAATACTAGTGCACCGTCTTTGTAAATCCAAAGTTTGGCTGGGACGGGTCAAACACATAAGTTTAATACTCAGGGTTATGGTTTTATTCAAACCCCAAACTTAACAGATGAGGAATAACAATAACTTCAAGCCAGAACAGAGGTTCCAGTCTGAAACAAAAGTTTGCAAAAGTGACTGTTTTTATGATTTTCCCAATCTGATTTAATGTGATATCCATGCCCACAATACGAGACAGACAAACAGAAGATCCAAAGGAAAAATTGTGCTTTTTCTGGACAGTGATGGAAAACTCAAGACGATAAAATTCCCCCCAACCTTTTCCCTCTCTAAGTGGTTATTGTGGAGAAGTTCCATTTTCGGAATGACAAGGGAACAACTCATAAGCACTAACAGAAATGATTCAGTTTCAGACTATGCTGCAATAATTCCCAAACGTTTCAATGCTCAAAAAATGAAAAACAAAAAAAAATACAACAGGGGGAAATGGAATTTGGATATTAAGTAATGGCAATATCCTTACAGTATTACTCACAAATATTGTGGAACTGTTAAGTCTAGTCTGTAAGCTCTGTTGGTCTACGCTGGAAGCAAACTGATCAACAATGTTTAACATAAACAGCTAATATATTTCCACACAATCACTTTTACAGACACATACAGAGCACGAGGTCTGAGCTGGGCTACAAGCTAGTATGGTTTGAATCATGGGAGCTGTTCAGGTGGTCTGATTCACACAGAAAAAAACTTTATTGGTTTGTTTGATGTTCGAGATGAAAATATTGGGACCCCAATCTCTCTCTCACACACAAACCCAAACCCAGTGAACCCTCCCAATATTAAGGGGCACCATCTGCATCTTGATGTCCTGAAAAAATAAAAATACACATAATAACATACTTTAGCTACATGAAACTATATGATATTCCTTTACGGAAATGACATAACAAAATGTAATTATTTTATATTTTAAATGAGAAGTGGAGAAATAACAGATCATTATTAAACAATCATGACCCACAACTTGGCATTGAACTTAATAGACTTGAAACACTGACTACATTAGCTTGTTTTCAGACAAAACTTGCAGTCTTTTTCCACATCACACCATTTTTTCTCCAGCATGTTGCCCAGAACTAATGTGTGTCTTTGGAGTCCCCTCCAAGATAAAGAATTTTCCCACGCTAACAAGAAACTTTAGCATTCAGGCTGCGGATACGTTGACTGGAGTTTGTTCCCTTCTAGACTCTAAATGAAGGTTTCAAAAGTGATTTTAAAGTAAAAATCATGATGTCATAGGAGAACCTTTTAAAATCATGATGCGATAACCTTTAAAAGAACTTTGATGACATAATATAATCTTTTAATGTTCTTATGTCATAGAAGACCTTTTAAGGTATCATGATGCAATATGAGAACCTTTAACCTTTTAATGGATGTTTATCTAGCCTATGTGCAATTAAAAGAACTAAAAAAAAAAAAATTACATGGACCCTGCAAAAAAAAAAACCCCATTATGTCTTTCTTTGTAGTATATGTATTAAGGCGGCCCACACTAAAACGCAGAACTGTAAAATCAACTGTGCAGTGCCACACAAGTGCCATAACTCACATTTATGGTGAAAAACAGCAGAAATGGAGACGGTTCATGGGGAGGAAGCACTGAGAAGTGGAAGAGGAGGACAGAGCAGGCAAGTATCTCCTGCTTTGGGAGGTGATGAATGGTATGAGAGCTGAAAGAGGTGGAGGTGATTTTCACACTTCGACACACATGCATATGCACACCGCTGTAGAAACATAAACAACAAGGCATGCAAATGCGATATGTTTCATATATATACTGTTTATAGACACCAGCTTGAATGAAGTGCAATTGGAGATTTTAAGAAAAAAAGGTAAAAATCTCTACTAATATCATCTTACATGTATATCAGAAGATATCTCAACAATGTGATCAGATTTATAAGTATACTAAAGTATGTAATTGAAATTCCACGACCTTCCACAAGTACATACAGTAGAGTATAGTAAGGATGTAGGTTTAGGTACATAGAGATCCAAAAGAGAAAATCGTCTGGTATGCTGACACCAAAACCACCCTGATCCTCCACAAATACACAAACTCTAATATGTCCCCATCTTAACAAACACGCAACACTCAGAGAGGAGAACGCACAGAGAGAACAGCCAGAACTGACCCTGGACCTGTCTGCTAGGGTATAAGATTTCCAAAAATATTTTTTAAAGCTTTGTTTATTGACTCTCTGAGCTGTTTACTCTCAGGTTTCCATCCATCTGGTGTTCACAAATATTCATATTCACAACTTTAGGCTTTTTTAATCTCTTTATAAAAACTCATATAAAACACAAACTTTGAAACCCATCACGAGCAAAACATTTTTTGTAATTATGTATTTAGGTTATCATAATCATAGTATCATGATATCTTTAATTTACCCTTTATTTTAGTTATAAAATGTATTGGATGTTATAAGATATGAGGCATGCAAATATAGGATTTTTAGAAACAAAATCTGGACTGCATGAAAGTATTTATTAGTGCATGCGTCATTAATATGAATAATTATGCAGGCTTAATGGACAGGAGAGCATGAAATCCAGCTGGACCAAATCCCATAATGATCTAAACAGAGCCAGAAATGGTCAAACACAAAACCAAGCTATACTGTATACATCACACAATACAAAACCATGTAAATATACGAAACTTCACAAGGACTATAATATTTTGCCTTGAGCGAGCCCAGATGTTCTGTTCTGACGTCCTATGGCTACTTACACCGATTCATAATCTGTGTGACACAGTGCTGGTTTATTAATCTCGGAAGTTTGAAAAACACAAAACCAATCATGAGTCTGTGCAGTCTAAGTGTTCAGGGCTGTTTCTGAATAGCATCCACTGTATAGATGAACAGCAAATTACAAAATCATCGGGGGAAAAAACTAGACTTTTTTCCTAAAGATCAGGTCAATAGCACTAGCATTTAAAAACATGACACATATTAATGTAAATCCTTTGAATCACTCCCCATATTAGTGGTGTATCTGCCAGAGTGGTTAAAGCCTGACAGCCTGATGCAGGCCAGAATCTCTAGAATGACCATTTCTCATGACAGGACCTTTGAGAGACACTCCAGCCTACTGGAGTCTTCATGTACATTAAAGAAATACTACAAAAAAACTATGAAAAAATACTATAAATCTATAAAAGTCTGATTAT